AAAATATGATAACTACAAGAAGGAATACGACAGTAAAGGTAAAAACAAAACCAAAATTAGCTTTTACGTTTCGATAAGGACTTGACGTCTTAGGATGTAGGTAGAACATTGAAAATATACAGGGTGATCAACTCAAGGAGGCCACCATTGGGATATCGGAAACGGTAAGAATTAGAGAAAACTCTAAATGGGGGACATTCCTTTATTTTTTGTGGAAGTTAAAAATATGATTTTAGTTTTTCAAAATTCAGCCGCCATTTTCCAAAATGGCGGCCAACTTTGAAATTTCTTACGGAACACCCTGTATTTTATCATGTTTTCGGATAGAACATGAAATTTAAAAACTTTTTTATTCATTTTTTCGATAAACCCACTCGTTTAGGAGTTACAGCCTATGGAAAAATGACTTCCGGTGTACATTTTACATCATGTAGCTCCAAAAAAAGTAGGTTTATAGCGAAAATGCGAAGAGTAAATAAGTCAAATAAGTCTTAAAATTGCATCCACATCCCATTAAGACCATAAAATACACAGTTTTCCACTTTTCAAGTTTGCCGCCATTTTGGAAAATGGCCGCCATTTTTAAATAATAGAATTAATATTTTTTATCAAGTTTTATGGACTTTTTGGAATGTGGGCTTATTTAAGACTTATTTGACTTATTTACTCTTCGCATTTTCGCTATAAACCTACTTTTTTTGGAGCTACATGATGTAAAATGTACACCGGAAGTCATTTTTCCATAGGCTGTAACTCTTAAACGAGTGGGTTTATCGAAAAAATGTCATGAATAAAAAAGTTTTTAAATTGCATGTTCTATCTGAAAACATGATAAAATACAGGGTGTTCCGTAAGAAATTTCAAAGTTGGCCGCCATTTTGGAAAATGGCGGCTGAATTTTGAAAAACTAAAATCATATTTTTAACTTCCACAAAAAATAAAGGTATGTCCCCCTTTTAAAGTTTTCTCTAATTCTTACCGTTTCCGATATCCCAATGGTGGCCTCCTTGAGTTGATCACTCTGTATATACGTGTATTATAATTACACCGGATCAACTTTGATTTAATCTACTACTACAGTGGTATTTCTGCATGAAATAACCAAATCCCTCAAGAATTTCGTCTATGGCTGATGATTGAGCAAACAATTTTTCGCGACACAAAGATGTTTTAAGCCGTTTTACAAACGTTTATTGGAGGCAGAAAGCTACGTATTGTTGTCCATGCCATTTTTTGTCCTAATCATTTGGTGTTTTTTTATCCCAAGGTTTTTAAAATAGAATACCATTGTCGATTCGATAAAATAAATTTAACGACTTAGTTCTAATCGTAAAGTTTTTAATCGTTATGTTTATCCAAGTCTTACAAGAAAGAAGGTGAATCCCTATTTTGACATAATGGGTCTCTTGAAAGAAGGTAAGTACTAAAGCACACATATGAACATATATTTCACACTAAATTATTATAGTAATATAAATAAACGAATAGATTAGGTTCACAAAATAGAAAGGTTCACCATATTTTTAATTTATTTGTTGTACCCTAGTATGGTTTTAATTAAGCCATATCAATGACTGAAATGAATAAAACTGTTTTAGCCAACTGCCGTATTTTAAATAATGTCTCGATTCTAATAGTTTCAGTAAATCATATATCTGCAGCTAGTGTGACTGGAAACTAATTTGAGAAGTCATCGTTGGGGATTGAAGAGAATGAGTTCCAGCGGACGCAAACTTTTAATTGAATCGATTTTAAGAGGTTAGAGTTTTCTTTCAAGGAAATTTAGGATCGGATATAAGGCTTATATTTGTTGAAAGCATTTTTATTACTTTTCTTAATCTCTTAATCAACAACGAAAGCAATAAAATACAATGCACTTGGTTGTTTCACTTAAATACATCAATGAAATCATGTTTCTCACTCATATTGTTAATATAGGCTATAAAGCTATTGTTTTTTTAGTTTGAATTTGAATTACCTCAATTTTAAAATTGAAAATGGCTTAGTTTGACTTAAGCAGAGTTATTAAAAAATACTTCAGTCAAGCCAAATCTTGGAATAAAGTTTCATCACATCGCAGATAGTCTTCGATAGAAGAAACTAATTTACATTTAGTCGGAAAAGAAGCCTTAAGCTGACAAAGCTTCATAAGATGTTATTATGTTTGTCTTGAAAGATTTTTATCTTCACAAAAAGCAATTTTACAGTGGCATAAAACATTCATGTATTACTATGTCTAGCATAAACATGACTTATTTAGAAAAAGTTATGTTTTTAAGATTATGTTTTAGGACCGTCAGGCTTTGCATTAACCTATTCAGTTATGTTATTTTTAAAACTAAGAAGAAACTATTTTTCACCACACTGCGACGTTTTTAGCAGTTTTACAAACGTTTTTTGGAGGCCGAAAGCTACGTATTGCTGTCCATGCCAGCTGTCATCGTCATTTGGGGACTGAGCAGGTTTTACATCCCTAGGTCCGAAAGTCAGCTGTTACTTTTTTAAAAGATAAATGCAAATTAAATACACAATTAGTAGTATCCATAGCATTGTAAGAGACTTGTTTTATTGTCACCACTGCCTAGCAATTAACGATTACTATTTTTGCTGATTACTCAAATTATTTCTTCACATAAACTTAAAGTTTTAGTTGTGTTGAATGTTAGTGTAAATTATTATTGTGGTGAAAAGTGAATAGCAATCTTACCATGGACCGAAAATATTTTTCAGCTCTCGATCGTTTTACGTTCTCGAAGGCTCTCGAAGCAAAACCTAATTTTTGGCCCTTGTTACGAAATATACTATTCCGCACTCATGTGTAAAACGCACTTCACTTGTTTATCTTTTCAAATTTATCTCAATAACACATTCTACCATTAGAATTTATTTTTAGTAATATGTATTGTAAGTATTTTAATCTAGGTATATACTATTTTAAACTAAAATTATCTCAATTACGGCATAATTGTACAAATATATTACCATTTTGAAACTTGCAGGTTGGTAAGTGAAGATAGTTAATATCGACCATCTTAAAGTTCAGAAGGTCTTTGAATATTCATGTAAAGGTTCTTATGGCTTAGTTTAGTCCGTTAGGGGACCAGAGTGGCTGGTTAAAACTACATACCGGATACTGGTTTAGTGGTTTACACCAAAAATTATAAATTCATGAGTTGGGGTAGACAGAATTTAATTTCTTTAAATTCTTCTCCTTTATGTAAAAACTAACTTCTTCTTTGAAAGTTTTATTTTAACTAACTAACTGCAAAAATTGATAAAAAACATTGTTGCAGTTGTATGTTATGTATCTCGCGGGAATAAAACAATATTAGAGAGACTTTTCCATTTATCTTATAAAAGATTGTTTTATTGCAGCCATGAAGGAGAGAATTTAACGAATGTACTTATTTGACTCTCTAAGGCGTTGTTAAAAACAATATTATATATATAAAAAAATTTGTTTTTCTTTTCCGAGTTCGTTTGGCTCTTCTTCCCGACCGATTTTCATGTTTGAGGTCTCAAATTGAACGTATAATTGAAGGTGACTGGCTCACACAACTACAGGTTTTTTAATATGACATCTTAAAAACCTTTATTTTACCCATTTAAATAAACTTGAACTAATTTTAATAATTGCCTATTGAACATTGAAATGCAAGAAGGATAACAAATTGTCGCTATAACTATTACATCTTACTAAGTAAAATTAATAAAACTTCTCAGAATAAACTGTATTTTTATCTGTCACATTGAGTCTATTTTTATGATTCATAACTGAAGTAGAACAGTTTTAAATAATGTATGTCTCTAGAATATGAATTATCTTTATTAAGAGCAGCTCTAGGCCATAATTTGTGTATCATTGCACGGTACTCATTTAGGATTTAAACTGTTTGACCATAAAATTTTAAATTTAATTTCTATTTATTTGATTTTGATTTATTTATTTGATAAGCGGTATGGAGTGTATAGCATTTTTTTACTAAATTTTAAGAGTATGAACATTTTTTTTGTTTTTAGCTTAGTGATATAGTTTAAGCTTACAATTAAGCTGAAAATATCATAATTGAATAATATGGTAAGTTATTTAATCACTTTTTAGCTTACCATTTGTATCCATAACAACTTTGACACAATCAGCTGTATAAAATTAATTATTATTCTTTAGGGTAAAGTGGGTTTGAAGGATTAAGATACTGTTAATTGTAAAACGCTATTTCGTTAAAATTCACTGACGAAAACCTTATTTTAGTAAAACTTGCACTTAGGTAACTCGTGTTTACCTTTATATCTTCCGTTAAAGTAAAAATATAAGTGCTCATGTAAACATTTCCTGTGTAAAATTTGTAAAAAAAATTATAATTATGTTTTAGAAACTATTTGTGGTCCTACGTGAAATAAAAAGTCTAGAAACACTATGAACACTTCTAATTTCTCCAGGTTAATGAAAAAATAAATATTTTGTGAAAAAAACAATTGATAATAAATGGTGTTTAAATTCAAAGGGAAAACTAAGCAAATAACTATCACAGTGTTTACATAAGCGTTTTCATTATATAACAGTTGGACTTTTATATTTGACAATAATAAAAAATATGCCTAATTTAAAATCACTTTCTTTATCTTCCTCACGTTCTTTCTCTTCACGTTCTTTTATTACCTGGTATTTCTAATAAGTTTCAGGTGATACGTATTTTATTTTTAAATGCATCGATTGTGTTGAAAGAGCTGTTACTACTATGAGAGGTTGTTTTGAAATCAATTTAAACTAGCGTTTTCAAACCCATACTGCAAACCTCTCTTATAAAAAAAAAAAAAAAAAAAACACACACACACACACACACACAAAGATGGTCAAATTCCTAAAATTTGAAAACTATGATTGAGTAAAATTTGTATTAGCTATTAAAACTCCTTTTCCTTTAAACTCAGTTGTTACAGAAGTAGCTTCTAATTATAGTTAAACGGCTATACGGATAAATAACTAATGGCCAAAACAATCAAGCAGGAACACTGTCGACATTAGTTATTAACTTAATTTATGAGAGAATTCTCATTTAAATTGAAAATGTAAATAATGTAGGTTTAATATTTATCCTCATTTGTCTTGATCACAGTGCATAAACTTCTTTAGCTTGTTGTAATACATTTCTGAGTCAACGTTTTCACTTTCTTGAATTTATACTTCTTCTAGAGAATTTCCCATATATAGGGAATTAGAGATTAGAGATAGTGACTCTCAGCGGTTACTAAAATATATATAAACAAACTCTTAATTCAAAATACGGTGGAACTTGTAACGGGTTAAAACTGTTGCAGTTTGCTCGCTTTTGGATGTATTTTGATCATCTTTAGCCAATTTATTATATACCGAACTATTAAAATTTAAAGACTTACTGTTACTTTCCATGTTGCAGTAAACCTAAGAACTCGTTTTAAGATAACTTCTTCTTAATAGGGAGCAAATCTGGCACGTAAAAAAACAAAAAAGAGATATTTTTGTAAAAGTCCGTCAAATGGAAATTCACTCAATCTGCATGTTTTCTGCACTTTTACTTTCTTGCATTTTTACATTACAGGTTTTTTTTTAAGTTATTAGCATTTTGAAAAATAATAGTTATTACCATGTATTAGCAAGGTTTACCAATACGCCGATAAATAATTTAACTACAGTGTAAACAAAATTATTAATGCAGTTGGTTTAAGCTGTTCTATGGTATTTCAAGGTCTATTACTCCTGTTCCTTATAGTTCATTGTATAAGTTAGCTATCCGAACTGTTTGCCGTCAACTTTATGGTCATGGAACCAGACTGTGACAAGCAACGACAATGTGTCCTAAGAGCTGCCTTAGAACAACGCTTAACATAATAATTTATCTGTTGAAACGCACATTGTATTAAGTTACGTTACTACACCTTATAAAATGACAAATTTTCTGAATATTCACAACGTTACTAACACAACTTGATAATTAATAAAGCAAATTGACCAGTATAGCATTTAACAAATACTTTTTACCCGACTATCTTCGCGCTTGATTTCTGTGAATCTATCATCTAAATAGGCACCAAACACCAAAGGGTGAATTAAATCTGTCCTAAACACACACACGAGCCTGTGTTGACACGAGGGCAATCAATAGGGGACTGGTCCGGTCCCATAACTAATGCACGTTGTGGTAAGTTGTGAAATGTTTACCCAATATATTTTATGCGGCCTCAAATTATATACACTTTAGACCACGAGTACTGGAAGAATACCATATAAAAAAACATATTTAAATACCGGAAATATTTAGCATAAACGCATAAACAAATGAAGTTTTTGGTCCGAAAGTAAACAAAACCCCGATACTAATAACATTAGTTAGCATATGGTTTTGTTTACTCTTTTCTAGTATTCGTGCTTTAGACTTGAATCTGAAAATGTTATTGACGTGTTGAGAAAAGTCCTATAGGGGTTAACGCTTTAATGGCAGTTGATAAGGTTACAGCCTTAAAATTAACAAGACCAATAATTAATTGATAGTCTATTTATTAAGTTATCACTCTAATGAAGCCTTGATAAAGCAAATTTATACTTAGATACACAATTTCTATACAGTAAACACATTTGACAAAATAAAAAAAAACATAATTAGTCAGATTTTACGGATAAATTGTTTTCGAAGTCTTGAGTTTTAAAGCTTAAATGCTGAAAGTTTCAGTTTTGATTGTTGTAAAAAGATTTATTTTACTTTTGTAATCGAAAAATTGATATTTGTGGTAGATTTTAAGTAAGATGCAGTAACAAGACCAGAGGTTAGACCGTACTCTGACAAAAATCTTATAAAAATGATAACTCAAAAATGCTAATAGCAAAAATAAAGTACAAATTAATAAATAACTTAGCTGGAAATGTAACTATATACTATTTTCTTAGCAAAATTATTTTATGTGGCATTTGATGATTCTAATAATTATTTTTTCTAGACAAATTTACATGATCTTGTGCTGAGCTTTAATTTTGTTTGCAGCAAGATAACGCAAGCTAAAATAAGGTTTATTCAACTAGCTAATGTCAGGAATTCAATGTTTTAGGATTCAAATGAAGGCGTTTGAATGCACCCCACGTTATACCCACTGTTTGTTCTTTCCCAGACTGAGCTTTGAAAACTCAAACGTTGTTCGTCTGTTCCATATCTCCGAAAACGTGTTTTACTCGGTACTAAACCATTAAAATTATCTTAACTTTTGCCATCAGCAGGGGCTTAAAACAGATAAAACAATAAAACTTTTACTTCTGCAATGCATACATGTTAAATGATTGCTAGTGTTATTTAAATAGGGAATAATTATGATATTTTTAAGAAGATATCTTGGTGAAAATACAATCAGGCGAGTGGTAAATCACTTAGTCTACAGGATTGCTGCGTCGGGGATATTATAAGTATAAATAGAATCGCTCAAATAAATTTAGCGTTATAATTTAGCACTGTTTCTTGTAGACTATCTTCGAATCGCAGTACTTATATCTAAAGTTGGTTAGTGTATTTTAATTTATTTTTATTTTAATTGGAAACAAGCTTCAGCTCACCAAAATATGACCAGTTTAAATATTTACTACAAAAATTTAGAATGCTTTGGTTCCTGTAACGTAACAAAATAAAGGATATTCATAAACTTTCCATAGTTACAACACCAATGTTCAAAATGAATAGTTTAAATTATTTTGCTAATAAAACTCATGTTCTTTTCATTACATTTTTTTATGTTAAATTTTAACAAACATGAATTATAAGTTTATTTGTAGAGGTCAACAATTAATTTAACTTCAACAGCCGATCTCCTCCAATGATACCATGGCAGGAAGTAGAAGTAGAATATCCTGCGGAAGTCATCAAATGTGTTTAAACTTACAAATCCCAAACATAAGGTGAACACAAAAGAGAAGGCAAACGTGCGTAATGGAGTGGTCAAGTATTTAAGACTTCCTTCTAGTATTTGCCGATCATCAGTATTTCCTTCCATTATAACAACTAAATCGTTGAGTATATAGGCAAGCCACATATACATGAGAATGCAGGTGTTAATCAGTGACACTGCCAGGAAGAACAAGTCTCGTAGGAGTCGCAGTATACTGATCCGAGTAGTAAGGAATATCCTGAGGGATTCCAAATATCCGTATTTGGGTATCCTTACAACAGTGAAGGGGAAGGAGCAAAGTTCACAAGAATCTCGGACTGACCCTGTCAACCACTCTTCTAAACATGTAACATGTACCCAGCCCAACGTACCTTTACAGTGACATGGAGAAGATATTAAATCAGTTCCTGCGTTGAACTTGCATATTCTACAAGAGACGGAACTTTCACTGCTAACTGTATTAGTTACTGGAGTCTCTAACAGGTTTACATCAGGGAGCCCATCCACCTCTTGTGGATATTCGGGAAAAGCAGTTACACTTGCATCAGCCATGACTTAAATTTACTTGTTAACTGGATCCAAAAATGTTGGGTTATTTATATCAACTTTGTTTCTATGGTTAACAAACTTTAACTATCAGTTACTTGATATCTGAAACATTATAAAATTGCATAACTTCCTCAATAATTAGCGTTTGATTTTTAGTAAGCTAACATGGATGTTATGTATTTTATGATATCCTATGGCGTGGGGTTGTTCCTGGGGTGGGCGGCGCAGGAGGTAGCGGCGGATCTAATTTGGAGGTTTTCCCCGGCCTTTTTTAGTTTCAGACCGATGCGAGTCTTCGCTAAATATAAGGGACCGAAGTGCTGCTAAAATGTCAGAAAAAAAATATATCACAAGAAATGAAAAGCAGCACCAGAAAAAAAAAGAAAGGAGGAACAGCAGCAGCGAAGTAAGAATGAATAGCATTGCCTTTGAAGACGAAAAGTCGACTCAACTTAGAGAAACGTGAGGGATAATAATCCACGCACATGGATAAATAAATGCTTGTCCACGATAAAAGTAAAATCATTGAAGAAACACGAGCTTTACATGGACAAAGAACAATTACCCAATCTAGAGCGATACAACTAACCGTCAGCCTGGAAAACTACACAAGTTAAAGAAGTGTATCTCAAATGACTTTAACATCCTTAGATGAACTGCAAGAATTTGAAGGACACATTGGAAAAGCAACCACACACCAAGAGAAATAAGTAATGAAAAGTTACAGAACAGGAAGACTGTAGAACAGGACATCTTTAAAAACCACTGCAACAGTTGGCTACTCGAAGATGTATCCTCAATATATTTTTTTTCAATAAACAACCCTTATTGTACGAGTAATGTTTGGTTATATTGTAGCGGACCGCTACAATAGCGCAAGTCACGTGACCACGATGCGCGCGCAGTCGACCCGGGTAGGCACGCGCAGCGAACCAAGAGACGAGTTCAGTGTAGTGTCGAGCGCCTGGAGCTGTACATCTGATCGGATAAGTAGACTGTAGCCTAAGATGTCTAGCTAATAGAAGTAGGGGTTGGGGAAAGGGTGTAGGTTGGGGCAAAAGGTAATTCAATCATGTAGTTTATTAGGTTCTCGAAGGGTCGTGGTCTGGCAATTAATATCGTAAATTAGAATTCACATTTGCTAAGTCTAGTAACCTTTTTCACGAATTAGAATAAGTCCATATATATATATTTCTCTGTTCATTATATTATAATTAGATACATTATGAACATAAAAGCTGGCTGTGATAGGCAGCTAAGGTAATATTGTGCACTTTGACGAGTTAGATTAATTCTTGCAATAGAGTTGGGTTACGACAGGAAATGTGCGTGATTTGGCAGTGGTTAGAGGAAGATATATAGGGCCCAGGTATCTTCATTTACACTCATACTACTCCACATCATCACAATATTTAGATAGTTACAGTAGTAATAATGGTTAGAGAAAAGAGTAGGTGATGTAGGTTTCATAATCGTAACATATGATTGCACTTTTGTCGATCAAATGTGTCTTAGCGAACTTCCCATATAGATAATAAGCTATTACTAAGAGCTAAAATACTGTTACCTCCACCTTGGAACAGTTATTGGTTATTTATTCGTAAGTAGGAAAGAGGTGCAATTTTTTTAAATAATTGGTGGTCTCTCTTTACTCGTACAGAGGGTTCAGGTCTGCTCGTATGTGTCAAGCAAAGTCAGGATGAGTAGATACCGTACAAAAATAAACTGTACTAATCTATATAATTAATATGAGGCATAAAACGATGAAACTTTGTAAAAATTAGGCTTTTTGTTTTAAGATTTGACCCCTCATGTTATATACAAAAATGTTCGTCTAGATTAATGGATTAGAAAACTGACCTTACATTTTTGAAAAAAAAAATCTCCTGGGCTCTGCCCCAGTGGCTTTTAATGTTCCCATGTTATCTTTATGAAGAACATTTGTTTATATCATGATCAGCTGGATAATTTTATTGCTGTTTCATATTTCAGTTGAAATATGAGGAAACGTGTATTACAATCATTTAATGACTTTAATTTAAATATAAATCATATTTGTTTAATAAAATTTACTATTGTTAATATAGACAACCTAATGCAGCTAAGAGTGGGAAACCTTTGTAGAAAACACTAAAAACAAGATCCGCTTTTGAAAACTGCAAACATATTTACAAGCCATTTTTGACTATATTGAACTGTTATGTACTTCGTAAATATTTCTATAATCTTTGAGTCAACGTCGGGAATTATGACTGTTATTCGTTTTAAAAACACCCCTGTAATACTTCGCAATTGCTTAAATTCAAGCAACATGTACACTAGTTATAAATAAATCAATATAAATTCAGTGTAAAAGCAGAGTCTCGTAATCTGTGGTTCACGTAAATAAAATTATACAAATGTGAACTCGCTGGCCATTTGCATGCCATTATCGTTAAATCGATTTAGTCTGCGTTCATCTTTAGTCAATTAAATGTAAAATAGAAGCTCTAGTTTCAAATGAAAAGTTCAATAGTACTGCTAATACTCAATGGATTTTATTTATCTGATAATGCCACAACCCCTAGGTCTAGCATGAAGTAATGTTAAAAATAATTCCGGGCTCGTGCATAGCGTCCTAGGAAAAAAAATTTTTACTTCTAATGCTTTGAGTATGAATGTCAAATTCAAATTAGTCATTTGTGTATTAGTTAGCCAATTAAATACCATAAACAAATTTTACTTACAAAGTATTGTTTTTTACGCAAATAACAATCACGTAGTATGTAAATTTATAATCTCAGTTTCGATATTTACAAATCTGTTTATATCCACCGTTAAGATAATGGTAGCCATACTGAAGTTACTACTGAACTAATTTTGTCTGATGGGATTGGATAGTAACTTAGTTGCGTATATGTCGAAACTTTTCTGTTCGTTTCCTACGTTAAAAATACATTTTATTCCAAATTTAACTGAAAAAAGTACATACAGAATGGGAGCCTACCAGTAGACCGACAAGATACTTTGTCGTCTGGCCACTAGACCGTCTTTTTTAATTAAATAGATAAATGCTGAAAACCAGTACGTCGACAAGTTATTTCATCGTCAGTCCAGTTGACCGGCCTGTAAAACTAAATTATTATATTCGAGAAACCAACTTGTCGTCAATCCTCCCGACCGACTTACCACTTGCTCGTCTTTTAGGTGGGGATAGGGGGCAGAGTGGGAGGAGCTAACCGGGGATTACCCAGGAGTTTGAGGCGCTTCTCATGGTTGAACCACCTCACTCGAGGCTAGAAGCCAGTATTGCCAACTGAAAGTACTATAGCTCCGTCGAACACTACACACGCGGCGTGTTTACACAGTCTGGCGTTAAGTTGACGTTGGCGCGCAATTCTCGTTGCGTCGTTTCTATAGCAACCGTGCCGTGACATTGTCCTTGGTCTCGCGCATTCCTCTGCCTTTGTATTATTTAATCTGCATCGAAAGATAAGACTCGCTTATATGCATTGACTATTAAGTCAATTAAAAATTTCATTCGGGGTTTTTGATCGTTTGTTTGGATAAAACTACGTACCGTATATTGTAGAATTAAATTTGTAGTGTGGTTATATGGTATTATGGTATATATATATATATATATATATATATATATATATATATATATATATCCTACTAATCCTACTAATATTATAAATGAGAAAGTTTGGATGTATGGATGTATGTTTGTGACAAGTAAACGCAGAAAATACTGGCCGGATTGGGCTGAAATTTGGTGTGATGATAGCTCACATTCCCGATTAACATATAGACGCATTCTTATCTCAAAAGTCCGTTCGGGCTCCGCCCCAGTGGCTCTGGAATTTCCCATGTTAACCTTATGAGTAATATTTAAAACGAATAAAAGAATTTCGTCAGCTGTTTCAAATACACAAGTTGGTTCTGTGATATTAAATTCGCATTAACAAGTTATAAAGTTTACTGACAGGGTACAGTACTATTAATTTAAATGAATATATAGAATAATCCATAGCCTATATCGATATTTTTCATTGTTATGAGTGTAGGACAGATACTAAAGTGCAGCCAAATTTTGTTTCTAAAAGTGGTAGCCTATATGTGTAACTATTTTATACAACAAATGTAAAGATCAAAATGTTTGTATTTTGTGTCTTCTTCCCGTTGCAAAGCACGGGTACAACAGCTAGTATATACATATATATACATATATATATATGTACCAGGTTTTGCGTTGGATTTTTCGTCAGTTTCGTCATTGAGCTCTCTCGTAGTAAGTTGTATCACTTGCGTCTTGTTCATGTTCTGTGGCATATTTTGTATCACTTGCTACCTGAGACGTATCAGAGTGGTGGAAACTGGTCCACGACGTAGAGGAAGTGGAGGGAAGTTGCAAAGGCAAAAGGTCTGGAGTGTGGGAAATGCCAAGCGACTATAGAATAATACAAAACCATGCTTAAAAATGCTTAGGGAGTGATGGAAACAGGCCCACGACGTAGAGGAAGTGGAGGGAAGTTGCAAGGACAAAAGGTCTGGAGTGTGGGAAATATAAAGTGACTATGGAAATATACAACACCATGCTTAAAAAGGCTTGAGGAATGATGGAAACAGGTTCACGACGTAGAGGAAGTGGAGGTAAGTTGCAAGGACAAAAGGTCTGGAGTGTGGGACATGTCAAGTGACGATGGAATTATACAACGCCATGCTTAAAAAGGCTTAGGGAATGATGGAAACAGGTCTGCGACGTAGAGGAAATGGAGGCAAGTTGCAAGGGCAAAAGGTCTGGAGTGTGGGAAATATCAAGTGACAATGGAATAATACAAAACCATGCTTAAAAATGCTTAGGGAGTGATGGAAACAGGCCCACGACGTAGAGGAAGTGGAGGGAAGTTGCAAGGGCAAAAGGTCTGGAGTGTGGGGAATATAAAGTGACTATGGAAATATACAACACCATGCTTAAAAAGGCTTGAGGAATGATGGAAACAGGTCCACGACGTAGAGGAAGTGGAGGCAAGTTGCAAGGGCAAAAGGTCTGGAGTGTGGGAAATATCAAGTGACTATGGAAATA